ACAGACAGACTGGATCAGTACAGTTCCAAAATCCGTGACGTATCGAAAGCGAAGCCAAAGAAATCCAAAATTCATCTCAAACGTGTCTTCAGACGCAAGAAGAAAGGACAACGTAAGGGGAAACAGGTCAATGAAGTTACGCCACCTAGCGATTCGTGTCCGAACTTATCTCCTGGTGCCACCACCTGTCAAAACGCCCACGAGTCAACTTCGGACGGAAAAGTTCAAGTAACATCAACAGAAGAACCAATCCAAGAACACTCGAGGAAGCAGAAACAGGAACCCTCAACAAAAGGGGGAAAACCAAAAAAAGAGACCGAGACTAACTCCACGGAAATTTCGGGGCCGAAGAAATCCAAAATTCATCTCGAACGTGTCTTCAAACGCAAGAAGAAAGGACAACGTAAAGAGAAACAGGTCAATGAAGTTTCGCCACCTAGCGATTGGAGTTCGAACTTATCTCCGGGTGACACCACCTGTCAAAACGCCCACGAGTCAACTTCGGACGGAAAAGTTCAAGTAACATCAACAGAAGAACCAATCCAAGAACACTTGAGGAAGCCGAAACAAGAACCCTCAACACAAGGGGGAAAACAAAGACAAGAGGCCGAAACTAACTCCACCGAACTTCCGGGGCCGAAGAAATCCAAAATTCATCTCAAACGTGTCTTCAAACGCAAGAAGAAAGGACAACGTAAGGGGAAACAGTTCAATGAAGTTACGCCACCTAGCGATTCATGTCCGAACTTATCTCCGGGTGACACCACCTGTCAAAACGCCCACGAGTCAACTTCGGACGGAAAAGTTCAAGTAACATCAACAGAAGAACCAATCCAAGAACACTTGAGGAAGCCGAAACAAGAACCCTCAACACAAGGGGGAAACAAAGACAAGAGGCCGAAACTAACTCCACCGAACTTCCGGGGCCGAAGAAATCCAAAATTCATCTCAAACGTGTCTTCAAACGCAAGAAGAAAGGACAACGTAAGGGGAAACAGTTCAATGAAGTTACGCCACCTAGCGATTCATGTCCGAACTTATCGCTGGGTGCCACCACCTGTCAAAATGCTCACAATTCAACGTCGGACGCGAAAATCCAAGTACATGTAGCATCAACAGAAGAACCAATCCAAGAACACTCGAGAAAGCCGAAACAAGAACCCTCAACACAAGGGGGGAAACAAAGACAAGAGGCCGAAACTAACTCCACCGAAATTGCGGGGGTGGAAATAATAGACATATCTCATGTCACAAGTTCAAACACGAGCACCAACCCTCTAACACGCGTAGGTGTAAAAGAGGAACTTTTCAAAGATGATGATAGGCCTGTGGTAACCGCAAACAAGAAAGAGCAACGTCATAAGAAGAAAAACAAGTGGTTTGTTGTTCGCTTCAGTAAAAAGACTAAAAAGACACACGACAGTGAAGCTTGTGACGACAGAAGTGAGAAAGCAAAGATAGAAACAATGAGCGAGAACGAAAAGAGAAAGGAGCTTCTAGAACACAGCACTACAATCATAAACCTTGGACGTAACGCCGAGAAAAAGAAACGTGGGCTTAAAACTCTCTGGAAGAAAGCAAAGAAGAGAAAGCGTGGGGAAAAAGACAGCTCGTCTGAAAGTGACCAGGCGGAAGGGAAGTTGAGTGACTTTCAAAATGACCGCCCGAGGCACAAGAAGTGGAAGAGGAAGTGGCCCAGACTACTTAAGAAGGAACCTAAGAAAAGCTCAAGCGACGACAGTGTTCCTGAGCCGGAGGTTGCTGATAATAAGGAACAAGTAAGAAATTTAAGGAACTTCTGTTGAATCCATTCAATGCAACTTCAACTATTTTTGCAGTCATACGTAATGCATGCGTTTCATTTGATATTCCATTGTTAAATGCTACACAAGTAAAAACTGGAAAGGCTAAAGGTTAAATGGTTATACATGTACTGGTAATAATGGTATAATGGTAAATAGATATTTGTCTTAGTAAACAGTATTTATGTTTACCCTCGCAGAAGGAAAACATATTGTCTTTACTCCGTTTCTTCCTCCGTTTCCAAACAAAAAGTCAATGCCCTCGACCAGACGTCTGTCACCATGGTAACGGGTGCTGTGGTGTCAGATTACAATATGTAGCAACTGGCAGGACAGAGTTGGATGGTTGGCCACCATATATTTTACATGAATTTTGTTGAGTAAGAATAAACTGAGCAGTAGTTTGATAGGCCATATGAAGGTAAACATTATGCATTTGCTTTGCAAGTATTGTCTTGTGTGGCGTGTGGGGTCGTGTGGGGTAGCGGCAGAGTGCGCGACTCGGAACCTAGCTAGAGGTCCCGGGTTCAAGTCCTGACATGCCACCAATCTTGTGCCCATGGGAAAGGCACACGACTTTCCTCACTTCGCTCAGGTGGAAATGAGTATTGTCATGTCATGTATTTGTCCCGTGTTGGTGGCGGAATTAATATATAAGTTGATAAAACTTGAGTGTGCCGTCACCACGTCTGGTGATTACATGTTGGAATAAAAAAAAAGTGTTGTCTTTCTAATGGACTGATGCATTTTCCAGCCCAAACGGACGCTGGAAGACCTCCAGCGCGAAGTCACGGAAACACAGGAAATCGTCCGAGATATCGTGGAGAAGAAGTTAGCGCAACGCGACGAGAAACTGCGAGATCTCACGAGAGTTGCCGAGAACCTCGAGAAGGCTGCCGAACAGTTTCAAAAAGTGTCGAAAAAAGTTCGCTTCAAGATGTGGCTGAGGTCCAGAAAATGGACCGTTTGTACGGTCAGCACGGTGGTGGTTGTACTTTCCCTGGGGGCTATGGTACTCTGTGTTATTTTTGTGTAAGACCAAACCGATGAAATTTTATGGATGACATGCTATGAAGAGTCCCAAACTAGTGAGCGCGGACGAATAAAAAAAATTCCAGTCAAAAATAAAAATGCTACTAAACCACAGGAATACAAAACTGGTATTGTGAATTTGCGGCAGTACATAGTGCCGTATACGACAAGCCGGCACATGCTGGCTTTTGTGGAATTTATGAATCGGCACCGTGCGTATGTACTGAGTTCTTGAGTCATGGAGGTTCGGTAGCCCGTCCTCTAAAGTTACAACCGGCTCCGTATTGTCGCTAACTACCATGGACTACCCAGGTCTAGATCTTAGAGCCTCGGAGGACGTGACTTTTTTTTTGAGAACAGGCGAAAATCAATGCGCGCGCGGGGATGTCATCCATAAAATTAAGTCAGTGTGGCCTAATTTGACAAACTGGGAACTTTGAACCACATGTCAGCACTTAAGCTTGATGTTCGAACTGTGTAATTTGGTTAAATATTTGTTCAGGTAACTACTAGTTCGTTCTGCATTCAACTTGTTTCCTGCTTTGAAATTTCAAACACCTACTCTTAGATTACTAATACAGGGCTCGAAATACGTATTGAAAATATAAATGGTATTATTTTGGTATTATTGTTTACAACAAATGATTACGACGTATATATACAAGTAGTATTTATACATTTTCTTATTTTTTAGATTAATTTTTCTTTAGATTTGATTTGACTAATGCTCGCCTTAAATTTATTTTGGGTAATTTTATTAATTGATAGCAATTCTAACATACTTTATAAATGATTGTATATTGTTTAAGGTTAATATTTCACAGTTTAAGGAAAACCAAGACTTTTTTCATGTCTGAATACATTTGGCCACAGTAATCATGATTTGTAAACAAGACAAAGTATATATTGATGTTGTAATAAAACCCAAAATAAACCCAAACGCGTGTGTAATCATTAGTAACTTATGATAAAATACTCTATATGCTAGATATCTGTCTCGTTACGATTTTCCCGCATCACATCTGCTTGGAGATGGCTAGTTTCCCGCCATAAACTGCAATCAACTTCCTTCAGCTAAAGTTAGACTCACGCGCATGCGCCTTTTACTTGTCCCAATCACACATTCACCATTTCCCATTCCCAGGATGCATAGCGCCAGGAGGTAAAAATTCCCAGGTTGCATAGCGCCAAGGGGTCGGAATTATGTGTTCCTGTGGTAATTCTAAATTCGTTTATATGACAGAATCTAAATAATAAAAGCTTCTCCCTTAATATTTATATACTACAACCTCTGTACATTTCAAACTATAGTTGTATCTCCTTTGAACACACACTGCTCCAACACACACACACACACACACTCACTCACACACACACACACACACACACACACAAACACACATACACACACACACAAAACAGAGAGAGAGAGAGAGAGAAAGAGAGAATGAGAGAGAGAGAGAGAGAGAGAGAGAGAGAGAGAACAATTTGTCCAACAAGAAAACAACAGTATATTTCTATATCGACCGTCAAGCGCTATGCATGCTGGGAATGGGAAAGGTGGATGTTGACCCCATGACCTTTATATTACCTGGAGTTCGGTCAGACGTCTGTTGGACTTTACTACCTCGGTTTAGCGACATCTGGTCCTAGTACCACACAACACGAAAATCAATTTTTGTATAAAGCCAACTCTTAAAAAAAAGAAGAAGTATCCCTACTTCAAAGAAGTATCCCTCTTAACTGTCTAATGGAATAGTCCAAGACCAGGTCATTTAAGGTCATTGTCAACAGCGGAAAGAATGGAGACAACTGATAGGATGTTTTTTGAGAGGAAAAATAATTGTCTATTTGATGTTTGCCCTTAGATAGTAAACTATCACGCAACAACGTGTGCGGGGATATACCACTGACTTTACAAAGTCATTGGAGGGGGTGGTGGTGTCGAAAACATACTTTACACCAAAGAATAGCAATTCTTATAACCTTAAAATGACCGCGAGTGACCCCTTGGACAACTGTGGCGACGTCCGCTAGGAGGTTTTTAAACTTATCGCTGACGACAGTGCAGTGCAATGTCGCGTGATCTTTATGTTTTTACAGCCCACCCATTGGCAAATAGTTTGGTCTACACGTACATGTACACATAGTGTTTCAATACACCATGCAGTGACAGTCACATACAGGCCCGGGCAAATATAGGTACGGTCAAAAAGTACTTGCATGGTCAATATATACCGGCAGGACGATACTAGACGCAGGGAACATTCGCTCCGACGACGCAGCTCTTGAAAAGAAACAAGGTGAGTTTAGGAATTGCATTTTTGAAAATAAAATTTTAAGTTATCTCTTATAGTGTCCGAAGAAAGTATTTCTTTGTTATCAACTTTGAATAAAAAAGTGGAAGTTAAGACGAAGTCAAAACTCAAGCTTTCCTCCTTTTAGCTCTTGTTATCATTAAAAGTGTTGCAACCCTGAAGTTATGACACAGATAGTAAGATACATTTCCTTTTCTTACCACAACTGAGGAATTAATAGGTTTGCCATATAAACTATAAGTTAAATATTAAGATTTGACCTAAATTCCATTTAGACTGGGTCAAACTGTACACTAGTATGAAATTCACATTGTTTCGTATCACTTTGTAAAATGTCACGGACGTTTTGTGGTCCTTTTGTTTTTAATATACTTGCAATTATTTTGCATTTTTAACAAATTTGGTTTAAAGCGAAAATGATAGCAGTGTTAAACTTTCGCAGGCTAGGAAATATGAAATGGACATTAACTTCAACTTCAAACATATTAACAAATTGTGATATCTGCCTAAAAGTTTGTTTTTGTCTTGTTTTGATTTTAAATATCTGCAAGCGGACGTTTTGTCTCGTATTAGTTACGTGTTTTTATTTATTATCTTATAATTATGGCGCAATTTTAGATTAGGCCATACCGTCTTAATTTTATGGATGACATCCTCTGAAGACCCCCAAACTAGTGCGTGCGGGCGAATAAAAAAAATTCTGGCCAAAAATAACAATGTTACTAAACCACAGGAATACAAAGCTGATATTGTTAATTTGCGGTAATACGACATATATACGTATATGACAAGCCGGCACATGCTGGCTTTTTGCAGAATTTATCAATCGGCACTGTACGTATGTACTGAGTTCTTGAGTCGTGGAGCTTCGGTAGCCTGGGTGTCCGGCTCCGTATTGTCGTTAACTACCATGAACTACCCAGGCCTAGAGCCAGGCCATAGCCTCGAGTCGGTGGACATGATCTTTTTTTTCTGAGAACAGGCGAAAATCAATGCGCGCGCGGATGTCATCCAAAAAATTCAGTCGTGTGGCCTTACCACGCAAAACGCACGAAACAACGCGAAAAGTAGCGTTTTTACTCCGTGAAGGAGGTCAGGACCTCCGGACGGAGTGTTGTGATCGGCTGATTTTTCATGTTCACAGTCAAAACACTGGGTTCTCTTTGCGTAATCGGCACGCAATTTTATACGCCGTCTGCGGGCATGCCCGTGTTGATGCACGAATGTTTATTTTTGCCGTTGCTGCTTTCGCGGTCAATGTAATATTGCAGACGCACCCCTACAATTACGAGGCGAATTGGAATGGTCCAGAAAAACGCGTTGTTTGGAATAGCAGTGGGGGTGGGGGGGGGGGTGGAACTTCATGCAGATACGGGGTGGTTTTGATAAGTGGTTCCAGATGTTTTTGCCCACGCTTAAGAGATGCCAAGTTTTTTGGAAGATGTTCGCAGCCAAAACGCATTCTTCCGTACGACGCATTTCTGTGTAATTTCGCATGTGGTGTGGCATTATGTCCGGGATGATGCACGTCTTTTTATTTTTACCGTAGCTGTTTTGATATTGAAGTAAATGCATATTTTAGAAACATCCCTACTTTTACAATCCTGTGGAATAGGCCGTAGGTTTAGGCAGTTGTCTGGTAGCAGAGGTACTCTAAAGCAGATATCCTGGTTATCTGGCCGGCGGTAGTAACACTCGCGGTGCTTACCGCAACTGTTGCTGGAATTTGGCATGTTCCAGGCGCGCTTAATTAGGTACAGGCACGGTAAGACGGTGGGACTGGTTGTTACTAGACACGACCATGATAGTCCGATCTTTATGTGAATGCAATGATTGTGTGTGTGTAATTAAAATGAACTTCGAACTTGAAGTACAGTATCTTTACACGCCCTGGGAGCAGTAATGGATTTAGCTCTTTGTATGTTTTATGCTTGTGACGCGCCCTCATTGTATTAACCGTTGCCTAATTATAATGTCTGCACAGTAGGTCTGGCGTTGACGCTTGGGATTTTGTTGAAATATACAAAACTTCACGGAGGATTGTCACCTATGGCTTCTTGTTAAAGTTTCCAACGAGTTAATGCAGAGATTTATGTACTTCCTGTCAGGGAAAAACAGATGATGTCATACTTGTTGTTCATTGCCGTCTGCTTGGTCACGTGCGTGTCGGCGCACGCGCAGTGCAGCAACACTTCACCTTGCCCTTTCAAAGGTAAACAAAATATCCACACGTATTGTAGCAGTCACACGGTGATTTTATAGTCTAACATTATTGTAACAAGACATATACTTCGCCTATTAAACTGATCAGTAGTAAAAAATGTCTTTGAAGGTTTACGTACTCGTATGTGAATTTTTACCTTTTTGAGATGCTGTTGTATGCTACCCTAGCTCTGTTTACGTATAATCACTAGAAGAAAAGAAAAGGAAAGAGTTAAGAAGATTTGTACGGTTTAAAGTATGGTTGAAAACTCTTTTCCTGTTAACTTAAGGACCATTTTACTACACATGCATATATAAATGAATTATTCTAATGTAGTAAAATACAAAATACTGAAATCCTAAAAACAACAAATAGAATCAAAAGTGATTGACGGTCACCATGTGCCAATAGGTGGTGATGATTTCATCCAACCAGAAGAAAAGTCTTCAATAGACGGTAAACTTGAGATGACCTTGACCGTGGATGTGTCTGACGTCACGGTGGAGTGGTTGACCTTCACCAGAAGGACCTATAACGGAGGTTGGCCCTCCCCAACACTGAGGGTCAGGGCGGGGGATCAGGTCGACATTCTTTTGGTAGGTGGCAAAGTCAAGTACTGTAACATTCTGGTAGGTGGAAACGGGTTGCACTAAATGTCGAAATATACCAAAAATACCGAAACATCACGGAATACATGTCAAGTGCGCATCCGGGCAGGGGACCAGGTCGACATTCTTCTGGTAGGTGAAAACGGGTGCTGCTGAATGTCGAAATACACCAAAATTACCGAAACATCACGGAATACATGACAAGTGCGCATCAGGGCAGGGGACCAGGTCGAGATTCTTCTGGTAGGTAGAAATGGGTTCCTCTAATTGTCGAAATACACCAAAGTTATCGAAACATCACAAAATACATGTGAAATACTAGACAAGTATGCATCTGGTAGGTAGAAATGGGTTCCACTAAATGTTGAAATACAGCATCCCGAAACCCGAAAATCACAAAATACATGTGAAGTCCTCATCAGGGCGAGGTACAAGGTCAACTTTCTTCTGGTAGGTGGAAAAGAGTTCCAATAAATGTCGAAATACACAAATTTACCGAAACATCACAAATACACGTAAAATACGCATCATATGGTATACACGGGATTTAACAGAACACAACAAAACTTGACATGTGAACAATCCAAACTACTTTACAACCCAACTTTTTGTTATCCATCTGATCCACCCACTATCCCTTTTCTTCAACAAGAAAAATAACCTGGGAGACAGCCAAGCCGAGGGCGAGCCGAACACATTCCGCCACCCGAACACCACCAACCTGCACGTGCACGGACTGCACATCTCACCCAGGGAGCCGCAGGACGACGTCCTGATAGAGGCTAGTACTTCTGATAATCTGTTTCTCTCTCTGTTTTCTTTTCTGTTCGTCTGTCTCTGTGTCTGCGTCTCTCTCTCTCTCTGCCTGTGCACTTGTCTTTCTGTCTGTGTCTGCCTGCCTGTGTCTGTCTATCTGCCTGTCTGTCTCTGTCTGTCTGTCTCTGTCTCTCTGTCTGTCTCTGTCTGTCTCTGTCTCTCTCTCTCTGTCTGTCTCTGTCTGTCTGTCTGTCTCTGTCTGTGTCTATTTGTCTGTCTCTGTCTGTCTGTCTCTCAGAGTCTGTCTGTCTCTGTCTGCCTGTATGCTTCTGTCTCTGTCTGTCTCTAGATCTGTCTATGTTCCTGTCTCTGTCTGTCTGCCTCTCTCTCTTTGTCTGTCCATGGCTAGATTATGTTGGAGCATGTTTTTCATGTTGGAGCAAAATACAGCCGACTGCAACCGTTGATTGTCACCAATAGGTGGTGATGATTCATCAAACCAGGAGAAAAGTCTTCGGTAGACTTTAAACTTGAGATGACCTTGACCGTGTCTGATGTAACAGTGAAGTGGCTGAACTTCACCAGACGGACCTATAACCTTTGTTGTTGTTATTAACCTGATGAAGGTGAGACCAGGTAGTGAGTACCAGCACCATTACGAGCTGAATGCCCTCCAGCCGGCGGGGACATACTGGTACCACGCACACCATCACGGGGCTACCTACTTCCAGGTATGGCGCAGGCGCAAAGTTTCCTCTCGTTAATGGTCGTCGCCTTTCAGAACGGTCGTCGCCTTTCAGAACGGTCGTCGCCTTTCAGAACGGTCGTCGCCTTTCAGAACGGTCGTCGCCTTTCAGAACGGTCGTTGCCTTTCAGAACGGTCGTCGCCTTTCAGAACCGTCGTCGCCTTTCAGAACGGTCGTCGCCTTTCAGAACGGTCGTCGCCTTTCGATGCCATATCGCTGACTGGTCGATGCCATATCCGAACGGTCCAAAAACGTATAAAACGTAATATGTACTGTAAAAAGCATCCTTCGAATTGCAAATTTAAGGGAGGATCATGATAAAAGTAAAGGTATTAGTGTAAAAAGAAATTAAGCTCAGATTCGAATCCGGATCAAAGGCGTAGCTCTGATCATGAAAGCTATTGCATATGTCTCGTCATAACTTCGCTGAAAATGTTACGTAAAAAGCCGTAGAAAATGTGCCGGTGCCTTGAACTGAGACACTCCTAATTGTCGATGTGAAAGGTACGAGGTTCTTATATTCCTGATACATTATTGATGTATTGGTTGACTGAAGGTAGCCAGTGGTCTTGCCGGGCTGTTGATCGTGGAGGATGAAGAGGCGTCCATGTCAGACCAACTTGCCGCCATTTCCTGTCCGAACAACTGTGACAAAGAGGTGCCCATGTTACTCGGCAAGTTGCTGTTCTACGGCCAGGACGCCCTGAGTTTTCCCACCATGCAAGACATCATGGGTGATATCTTCGTGTGAGTTTTTGTTTCACTGTTTATTGCATTAGAAATGGTCTGGAATTTGTGAATTTACAGATATGGTTATGACTAACCATATGTGCGACGATGTCTCTACTGCTTCGTGTCACTGACGAAAGGTAGTGGATGCTACCTGAAACGTCTGACCGTTTCCAAAATCATATCCAGTTGCTTGAGTAACTGTTTTGGCGTATCTCATTACCTGGATGTCTAACCTTCACCGACGTAAACATCTTCGATCGTTGGTCAACGTTGCACAAACTTACACGTATCGCGAGATTTCACGAGATTTGGGCCGACATGTTGGTTTTCACAGTTTGATCATTGTTTTGGTCTCCAGTAGAAATAAAACAGATCTAAAGAACAGAAAACACCGACGAAGCACAATACTTTCCTTCTGGGCGTGCGAAACACAAGTTTACAAATACATTTTTTTTCAGACTGGACGATATCGTAACAGACGAGAACATCACCCTATTGGATTGGCTGGAGAGGAATGACGCAACTCAGTACCTGACCAATGGTAAGCGACGTCTCTTCATCTTTACGTCAACTCTTGGTCAAAGCTGTTACACTTCCCAGACTCCACGTGACAAGTATCACTGGGTCAGTCTATATTGAAGAAGATCAGGGTGACTGGTCAATAGCTCTAGGAGAATCTTTTGTGTTGAAACAAAAGTTCTAACTCTAAACATAGATAAAAAGAACTTGATGAGGATGATCAATAATAATTTCAAAACTCCCGTTAACATCGTCATCCCCAGGTCAGTACGTACCAACGATCTCCATGCGGCCTGGAGAGATCAGACGTTTCCGATTGGTGAACATCGGACCGACCGACATGTTGGAGATGTACCTCGAAGGTAAGTAAGAATTCGGAGATCTCATACCTCCATATTGTATTATGTTCTACCTTGGTTGTATGTTATATGATGTTAAGGTTACAATATTGTTTCTCTTATGTTATTTAAGTTACCTTGATTTTGTATTCAATTTGTAACCTGTGTTATTTGATACCTTTGTTAATCTTGAGTTCATTTTGTTAATGAATTTTGTTTGGGGTTTTCCCCCCAGGAACCTTTGAAAATCGCCATCAGGCGACATGTGTTCTCCTGGATAAACAAACAAACAAACAAACAAACAAACAAGCCTCAGAGAAGCGTTTTGTAGCCATCCGATTTGCTAGGGCTCCTTGCACTCGCTAATCTAAAAAATTATTTCATTTTATATGATTCTAAAATATGATCCGTAACAAATCGGATTGCACTTTCAGGCTGTAATGTTTTGAATCTTGGGATTCTCTGGCATAATTCAATCGGGCATTACACACAATTACTTCCTGAATTCTACCACATACTACCCACATACTTAAGGCTTAAACTCCCTGTCAATCAAGTTTTTGCTCGTTTTTTTTCTTCTTCCGTTCCAAATAGATAAGGTAAATGACCTGGACCAGACGTCTGTAACCATGGTAACTGGTGTTGCAGCAGACACCCTCTGGTGTTGAGTTATATCATGTACTCGTAGCAGAACAGAGTTGGAGAGGGTGCTCGCCGATGCTTATGAATTTATTTGAGTAAGACTACACTTTCTTGGGGTAGACCAGGTGAAGGTAAACATTATGCGTTTGCTTTGCAAATGTTACTTTTCTAGTGTATTTGTTAAGTTTAAACGTTTCCTCGGTAGGTTGTGAGATGGTAGTGTTGGCGTTTGACGGAGTTTACGTGGACAAACCTTACCAGACGGAGTACGTCTTTATACCGGACGCCGGGCGAGCGGATGTAGCAGTCAGGTGTTCCGAGGCAGGGTCTTACCAGGTATTTGTTTGTTTGTTTGTTTGTTTGTTTAAACCGCTGTTTATTCATGGCAAACTCAAATCGGTCGCTTTTCATTGAGATCATGAGGAAAGCGATAAGGGTCAGTCAAAATATATCAAAGATACAGCAAGGACATTCTATACGTTGAATAAAAGTTCCTTGGATACAGGTAATTACATGATCTAGGTCCTAACAAACGTATAAAATATATGTGGAGATGCATGGGGCTGTCCAAATTTTCTCCGCGGAGATTTATCTCCGACACCTCCGCGGAGCTGTAACGTTTGTTTCGCGATGGACTTTGCTTCCGAAAATTCCCGTTAACTTTTAATACTAGTAGTTTTGGAATGGCTTCGCAAAACTAGTGCTTTGGCTTCATCTTATCATCATCATCTTAAGTACTGCTGAGCCCAATATTGACATTGGATTACTAGCAGCTGCACATGTTGTTATTTACAAAACAAGTGACCGGTACAAGTAGAAACAAGGGCAACTAAAGGAGGGGACACTACGGAACGTAAATAACTGAGTCTGTTGGTGTAAAGGACAAGACAGTGCATTTAGTGTGTTAGTAGGACATATATATATACATATATACAAGACGTGTAGGGGCGACTCAATGCAGCAGGGTCCTCGCCAGTCCAGATTTGAACTGGGCGAGGGACCCCGCCTCCGCCACACCAGGCTCAAGTTCGTTCCACTCTTTGATGGTACGAGGGAAGAACGAGAGCCTGTAAAAGTTGTTCCTACTCCCGATGGTCTGCAGCTTGAGAGCGTGGTTGGTGCGGCGGGAGCATCGAGTCGCCGGGACAACTCTAGATGCGTGCGGCACAGAAATAACATTGTTGGTTATCTTGTATAATGTGGCAAGTCTGGCGTTCTTCCTTCGGTGTGCTAAGGACTGCCAGCCCAGCTTATTAATCATGTCGGTGACAGAACTTGTACGGTAATAGTTGTTTACCGTATAGCTTGCAAACTGATTTATTCTAAGGTTGCAAAATTGGTATATTCTTTAATGCTACTGCCGTTTTTATGGTGCACATTCGAGAAAGAATTTTCAAAATTGCAGTGTAGATGCATGACTTTTACATTGTACATGTATGTGTTGTTGTCGTCAACTTTTTGTTCCTTTCAGCTCATTTCCCGCAACGCTCCGGATCAGATCATGTCGGTCGGTTCTACGCCAGTTTACGACGGAATCATCGCGACCATTGAGGTCTCAGGTACTCATGTTCGTTCAACTGTTTGTAGGTGACGTCAGAATTTTGTCTGTATGTAATCCAAGATGGCGACTTCACAGACACAGAAAGGAAATACGTATACTCTGATGCTCTATTAAAATGCAGAGCAAAGCGGTAAAGCGTTTTAGAGATTAAAGCGTTTAGAGGTAGCGAAAAATCAACTGTTTTGTACATTTAACTCTCATAGTGTACACATAATGGTGGCAATATATGACGTCACAGTCACGTTAGTTTAAACAACCAATAGGCTGCTGCCAACATGAGGGCGGCACAATATGACGTCACAACCACGTGAGTGTAAACAACCAATAGGCATCGATCGAGCATGATCTAATCTTGCAGGTGAGCCTGTAGAGATGTCTTTTCCTACCTCTTTACCCGAGAGGCCTTTCTTCAACCTGGATCTGAGAGGATTCCCCGACACCCGCATTAGAGGCCGGAATGTGGTCGAGTTCGGCCCGACTCCGTACCTCAATCGCGAGAAGATGAAGACTGGTGACTACTTCCGGTATAAATTCAGAACGGGAACCGTACAAGTATGTGGGAATTAATGCTAGTAATATCTTTAGTAGAGCATGAAAGTTCATCTGAGCTGGTAAATTACATTTTGAAAAATTTAAACTGTTCTCCAACTCATAAATTTGACTCACCGGAATTTTCGACTGAATCACTCAGTCTTCCTCAGCTTCCAACCTTTGACCCTTTGCTGACGTCACACGTGGGAAAAATCACGTGTCCACAGCATTTGGGTCCGTCAGATAGCTGAGGAAGACTGAGTGATTCAGTCGAAAATTCCGGTGAGTCAAATTTATGAGTTGGAGAACAGTTTAAATTTTTCATAATAACTAACTTTAGTACTTTGAATACTTGAGTATAATGTACGTAATGTTTACTTTGTAGACCGTCCCGGACTTAAAAATGGTAGTAGATAAACTTCAAGGTAATTTCGGACTTAAAAATGGTAGTAAATGAAATTACCAGACATGACTTTTATTTACTACCATTGTAATGTCCGGTACTGTTTACAAAGTAAACATTGCCCTACTTTGATGCCATTTACTACCACTTGTAAAGCCAACTTTTCCTGCAGTGTTAGATACTGTTGTTGCAACAACTTCTCAATTTTCTATTACATATTTTAAGAATTAGTTAAGTTCATTAATTATTTGTAAATTCACGCCCGAAGGCTAATTGCAACATACAATGTATAGAACACGCATATGTCACAGGGGAGATTGGAATCCAGGGGGATCCGGAATCCTCCTAGGGGAGACTTGGAATCCTCCTAGGAAAGAGTGGAATCCTGATATTGAGATCCCAATTCAGAAGAAGAAATACTAGAATTCATAGATTGAATCATTTCACACCTAAAGTTTCAATTATTTCAGCATAGTCAATTCTGCTTTCTGCCGCCACTGTCACTTGTCCAGTATGTTACTTTGACTGGCTTGGTAGGGGGAAACAATCCCTTATATACCAAGTTACTAACAAACTGGAAAAACTGGTTTTTGAGTCACTATCTCACAATAGCCTGATGCAAATATCTGAGTCTGATTTACATATTAACTTACCTATGCTGAAATTGATTGAAAGTTTAGGTGTGAAATAACTCAGTCTATTTTCCCAAGCATTTTGATGCAATCAGAATTTCTCCTTTTAAAACTGGAGATTGTCCTGTAAGAATTTCCACTTGTCCTAGGACAAATTCCAATCTCCCCTAGGGGAGATTAGAATCCCTATCTCCCCTAGGAGGATTCCAGATTCTCCTAGGGGAGATAGGGATTCTAATCTCTCCTAGGGGAGATAGGGATTCCAATCTCCCCTAGGATCCCCCTGGATTCCAATCTCCCCTGTGACACATACATGTGAAACAATTAACTGCGCTCACTTGGTGGCTTTATTCTGTGGTTATAGCAACTGACCAGGCTTTATCACACCATATTCACCCCGGGGCGGGTCATTAACCCTTAAGTATTCTATTCTATTCAGAACAAGTGACGATTCTATTCAAAATGCAATCTAAACTTTTGGGTTTGACTTCTGGACTTCAGGAATGGTACTTGGTGAACTCTGACCCTTCCGTGGGCCATCCGTACCACGTCCACGTCAATCACTTCCAGGTCGTCGCCTACAACCGGTACAACGGGCCGGTGGCCAGCTTCGCGCCTGCGTACTACGACCAGCAGGTGAGATCCCGCAATATTCAAATTGAGTGACCGTTAAACACCGCCACTCCACCTGATCTCTACTTAGCGTACTAGAGTATGAGGTTCGCAATTTCATCTAATGTTAACAAAAAGGGGTATGTCTATGTCTCATAGCCCACAGCCATCGCTTCGCTCACTCGGTGGTTTATTTCTTGGTTACAGCGCTCTGTTCTGAAACGTTATGTCATCGTAAATACCTCGTAGGTTAGTTCGAAAGAATACGAGACCCTGTCTTAATCTGTTTTAGGTTTACTGTAATCAATGTTGAGGTTTAGACGGTCTTCATGTGTCGCCATTTTTTGTCATTGTTGTTCACCAGCATGAGTCCAGGACACTTCTGTTGTCGCCTATGCGAAGGGACGCCAATATGGTTAACAGAAATCGTTGCCATGGCAACCCATGACTGACATAAAATCATATATGAAAAATCGCATTTTCATTTTTATTTCTAACAGGGTTTTCTTTGCGATCAACAACTGGAAGACTTTGACCCTTTGGAGGCTCCAGAGGTCATACCGGTCAACCTGACGTTCCTTGGGCACGAGACTAGGGACCGGGGCATGGCGGGATATGTGCCTATTGGCCAATGGCGAGACACCATCATGGTCCCGCCGTTGGCTAGCATCACAATCCGGTTTATGGCTGACGAGTAAGTATTTGAATTTGAATGGAGTGACCGTTATAAACTACCACTATGTCTGCATGATCCGTACGTAGAGTACTTAGGTGGGAGGACCACAATCAAGTCTCAGCAAAAGGGTGCGGTCTGTAGCTAGCTACTAAGGTTTCATAAACCATAGCAATTGCTTCGCTCACTCGGTGAGTTATTCCGTGGTTTATAAGACAACGTCCAGGATTTGTCACCCTAAACACCTCAATTCATTGAAAGAAGGATGTAAACTGATACTCACGACAAGGTATTATCTCTGAGAAGCTTTCAGGCGGCATCCGCCATCTTTCTTCAGCTCATAAGAGGGGTCACGTGACCTAGGTGTCATAGGTCACCCAGGTCACGTGACTGGATTCAATTCGTAAAAATTATCATAAATCGAAAACAAATCATCATAAATCAAACTATAAATCATCAAAATAAAATTTCATCCATCAAAATGTTTTAACCTCGCTTTTAGGTATCCCGGAACTTGCGTCATCCACTGTCACTTCCTGAATCACGAAGACGTGGGAATGATGATGGTGACGGAAATCGTCCGACCCTGGCAGTCCATCCGGGGTGCACACGTCACTTCCGGCGGTTTTCACCCCGGGACCTGCAAATTCTTTGACGAATGGCCTGACGTCAGAAAAAATAGTCCCGCGGGTTCCATTTAGGGGATTCTAGTAACAACGTTAAATAGAGTCTAGAGAGCTGTAATTTTTTATTGATTTAAAATTTCGGTTGACTAATCAGAATGTGACGGTATCACCTTCAAAGATACACATGGAAGATAAAAAAGAAAGAAATATTGATAGTTTAGTGACATGTAAGTTAAGGTACTGTATCATTGTAATACATGACTTCACCATGACAGATGTGTTCAAGACATTTAAGAAAGCTAAAGAGTTGAAAGAGCGGATAGGTTCCAGCAAAATTTGCTTCTTGAAATACATCCAATGCAGTTTCATGCCGGCAAAACAAAAAGTATTTCTGAACGACAATTGAGTTTGAAAACTTTTGTCTTGACCATTGAGATGAATTTTCGATTTTTGCATTGTGTGTGTGTTTTTTTGGGGGGGGGGCATTCGCGCTGGCCAACTTTCAGCCAATCTTGGCTGTAAGAAAAGGAGGTTGGCGATTGGCGGACAGTCACGCCAAGGCCTCGCTTGCTTCCTACTACGCAATACAAGCGCTGGCCTGGTAGAAGTTGTTTTGATTACTAACTAAAGTAACTATGGTAGCTGGCTAAAGCCCTGCTATGGTAAGAACATGATCATTCAATTTGCGCCAGATGATTTAACCGTATATACGCATGGGCTAACAATAATAAAGACTGAACAGACACAACACGCGTGTTCTACTTCTTAATAAACTTTAATCAAAGTAATCCATACCACATCCGTAAAACAACTTTCATTAAACAGTACTGCGTAGATCTACCTATCATCAAGATAAAACACAACAAAAGGAGACATAAACTAAATGACAAAACTTGGGTGATGTTAATACATCCCATGTCCGTACAATGATCTCCGTTTCTTTATGAATGTACTAGCCAAAGTCAAAAGTGCACCAAAATTGTTCACCTTTATATTAATATATGCACCATCACGATTTAAACATGCTGTAAGTATTATTTCACTTAATATATAATCAAGGACATAGCATCCTCACCCTAAGAAACTTAAGCTTACTGATAATGAACTGTGCTCTAACACTGCCAAATCCCAAGCCAAAATTATTCGTACAAATCTTGTAAAAAATCTTCAGATTCACCGTTGCACTGTAAAATGGCTCCGCCCCAGAGGCGCCGGCAAAAAACAGTGGTACATGTAAATGCCAGCAGAATCGCGGAGCTTCAGCAGATGGATCCGGGGGAAGACGAAGTCTGGTTCGGTGGGCTGCCATCCGCTGGTCTCGCACACCTCATCGAAGACGCTCCGTTCGTATTCTCCCATCCAGACCTCCTCGTGCGGCACGTACTCATTCGTTTCCCGTACGGGGTGACTCGAGAACGCGAACCCTGACGGCCACGTCAGAGCCTCCTTGTTGAACACTTCGGCCAGGGGAACCTCTATGTCGGCGTCATTGATGTCTGCCTTGACTCCGAGCTTCTCCATCGCCTCCAGAAAAACCTTGGATTTCTGCTCGACGAGGGTCTCGTAGCTGAGAGCAGCGTGGAAGAACTTGTCAGGCTCTTCCTCTTGTAGCTTCAAGGCGTGCTTCATTGCACCTTGCCACATCGTTATGATGTAGAAGGAGATGCTTTTGTTGTCTTGGTCGATCTTCAAGTCGTCTCCGAACACCTTGATGATGCCGTATTCTTTCTCCCATTTAAACCGTTGTCTTCCTGTCCTCATGGCCTTCTGGAAGTTGCGGAAGTGACTGATTTTATTACGAAGCATAAGCCGAATGTGGGACTCGTAAAACTGCATGCCGTTCCTGTACAGAAACGCTGTTTTCGCTCGCGGGAGAGCCTTTGCCATCAATTTGCCGACGTAGAACTGGCTTGGGTGCAGAGAGTATATGATTGTTGAACGCTGCAGCGGGTCCGACTTGAGGAAGTAGTAGTTGAGGAGCGTGGTGATGTTTTTAATGAAGGCGGTTCACCAGTCACCTCAGCCCCTTCGGCGATGGCAGCGTACACTTCGGGCAGGTTGACCGCCTGGACGTTCGGCAATGTGTTTGCTGCGTTCATGAAGAGCGTGGAACCGCAGCGTCCTGAAAAATGGATGAAAACAATACACACATTTTATTTCCATTCCAACACTTATTACGTGCAAGATATTGCGACGAGACACACGCTTTTTTTAAAACTTATAACTATGCCGCCACCTACATAGACAAACACATGAACGGACAACAGAAATACTATTTTTCACCTGAGTAAAGTGAGGAAAGTTCGTGTTAAGAGCCTTTCCCAAAAGCACAAGGTCGGCGGCATGGCAGGAGTCGAACTCGGGACCTCTTGGTTCCAAGCAGAACGCCACACGACCCCACATTTACAAACACATTTACAACTGTTATATCTTCCACGTAGTTAAAACATTTCTTTACTGAACAGGTATAATAGAACATCCTGGAGGGACATGGCTACAGCCGCCATGCATCTACTCTGATGCCTGCGGCTTGATTGATTGATTGATTGATTGATTGATTGATTGACAGGTACTAGGTATAAGCGAAGTGTTTTTGCCTGATGCTCGCAAAGACACCTTCCCCAGTCGTGTAGAAAGAGAACCCCAATGTTTTTACCAACCAGATGGGAAGACAAACAAACAGAAAGCTCACCTGTCATGTACAAGAAGATCTCCTGAACATGCTCGACTTCTTCAGCAATGGAATCAGCAACTTCTTGTAGCTTGGACAGAGGGATCATCAGGAGCTTCTCGGCATTCTCACGTTGGCCCTGAAAAAGTAGAGTCAATTCTAAGTGGACATTTTATGGAGGCAAATATAGAGAGTTGCATGCATCTACCTTGTTATAGTAACCCATACTACACCCGTTAAAGGCAAAAGACGTCTAATAGATGAAATCATTTGCATGTGCAACGCAAATACACACACACACTCACACATACACACGTACACGGACACACATACACACACACACATACGCACACACACAAACACACGGGCACACACACACATACGCGGACACACACACACACACACACACACACACACACACATACACACACACACACACACGGCACACACACACACACACACACACACACACACACACACACACACTTACCTGTAACAATTTACAGTACGGCCTCAGATCAACCCCTTCTGTCGTCTTCACCAATATAACCTCCTGGTGCTTAAAGTCGACTGTGTAGATAGAATACTCGTGGCCATGTTCCTTGAAGAATGCCACCACATCTTCAATCATTTCCTTTTCGGTGCCCTCCACGTCTTTGAAGTCATCTTTGACTTTGGCTAGTCCCTTGGTCATTAGCTGCTTCCAGGCTTGTTTCTTGACATGCTTGACTTGTTGTGTGTACACTTTACCGAAGTCTGGTCAGTGGATAAGGTATTAAAAAGCATGGTAAGAATATTTTCACGTGCATCTGCTTCATGTGGGTTTACTCCAAAGAGTGGATGGAGGTATAGTCTTTGTGTGTTTAACTTTGGTTAGTTACATAACTTTAGCACACATGTATTGTAAATAAGGCCATGTTGATTTGATTATATGGATGACATCCTCCGGGAGCCCCAAAACTGATGCGCGCGTGCGAATAAAAAAAAGTTTGGCAAAAAAAAAGTTACTTTTTCATTATGAAATCTACGTGATCATGAGGGTTGAGCAAATGGCACAGAATATGGTTTGGCGAATAATCTAGTCTTCAAGTTCATTTCTTTACAATTTCCTCTTTTTTCGTTTGATTTTGGCATTCTACGACATTGGTATAGTTTTTATTAATTTTTTTGTAACTTATGGTATATTTTTGCTCATTTTGCAACTGTTTTGTACGATTTACAGTATGGTTGAAAACTTTTTTTTTTGGAAACGGCCGAAAATTCATGCGCGCGCGGATGTCATCCATATAATCAAATCAACATGGCCTAAAGAAGAAACAAAAGTAAAAAAAAAATCAAATCCAAATAGACACACAAGAAATTCAATATACACGGGCTAACTAATCAATGAAGTAATACAATCAAATAACAAAATGATTCCAATTGATTATGCAAATGCCATCCTCATTTGCCTAATTTATATCAGTTAATCATCTTCTCCACCCAATGGCAGCCTTATCTTGACAAAGGTCATTCTGGTATTTCCGCATAAATTATGTAAATGAGTTCTAATTTGCATAAGTTTTGTTTAATGATGTTTCATATTCACCTTCGTCGTTGTCACAGTCGTCTTCTTCTTCCTTGTTTAGTTTCGTCGGGTCTTCTTTGTCCTTGGTCACAAACTCAACTTGTTCAAGTTGTTGTACGTCCGCCATTTTACCGAAGCCTGGTCAATGGATAAGGTAATGAAAAACATGGTAAGACTTAACTATAGTAACGACTCTCACTAGCCCACACATTAAGATTGATTATTTAATTCCTGATCAGTAGTAAGTAACAATTCTATGTAATCTATACACTCTACAATATTCTATAACAGCCTCTAGTTTAATTTTCCGGACTTAAATTCAATTCCGGACTAATTCCATATCTCGGCAACCTTACATCTAGATGGACTAATATTGTAAACTATAAGTAAAAACTAGAAAGGTAACATTTGCAAAGCAAATGCATAATGTTTACCTTCGCATATGGTTTGCTCTTCTTACTCAAATACATGTACATTCATATATATACGGTCAGACAGGAGTCTACATCCCTCCTATAAACTTGCAACATGATGTAACCCAACACCAGTTACCAAGGTGACAGACATCAACAAATCAGGCCATTGGCCAGGTCAGAGGTTAGTGTTTGGGACAGAAGAAGAAACGTAGTAAAAACAATATGTTTTCCTTCGGTAAACATAATAATGTAAGAAATATATAGACGTAGCAGTCATCAAGGACCCCTTGGGGTTTAACCCAATTCTGTAGAATTCTGTATAGAATTCTGGCTGCAGTTCCCAGAATTCTAAAATCCATGCTGCATTTACAGAATTCCCCGTAGAATATTGATATCTGTGAGCCAAAATTGCGACTTTACGGACTAAAAACGCCCACGGATGCTTATTTTATATATTGTATATAGGCGAATGTCGGACACTTCTGCCCCCAGCCGACCAGGACGTTTCGGCCTCAGACCGAGGACATTTCGGACCCACATCGTAGACGTTTCGGACCCTCACCGTAGACGCTGAAAACGCACCGTAGACGCACAAATAACTCTATTTCATGACATAAACTTCCAATTCCTATATTTGATGGGGAGCTGGGTGCCTTCGGCGGGCGGACGCGCGCACGACGTCCGCGGGCGGTTGTTAAGAGGAAGCCGGTCTGCGGTCAGGCGTTGGCTACATTTTTCAAGCAAAACGTCGGAAGGTTGTGACTTCCCTCTGTAGGAAGAGTACCGTAGATCTAGTGCGATTTAGAGACGACAGCCTGTATTCAAATCCAACCAGCCCACTACATCGTAGGCTCCAGGTATCTATACGGTGCTGGGAGCACTGTCCGCCCGCCCAGGTACATAAGGACGCGCTGGGGTATTTTACGGGTCGGTTTCAATTAGTTCACCTCTACATTACTGCAATAATTACTAGCCAGGGAAACACACAGATGATATATATTAGCCAGCACACCTGGCTAATATATACCAGATATATATTAGCCAGCACACCTGGCTAATAATATATATCATATCTGTGTGTGGTGAAAGTAAAAGGTGAAAAATTGCTATCGGGCAAAAGTCGCGTCTTCTCTTTTCTTCTTTATTTCACGTCTTCAGGCTAATCGTTCATCACGATCCGATTGACAGAAAAGGGGGCGTTGTTCAGGACGCCACCATCACACCGGGTTAAGATGACAAAACACAGTTTTCGCCCTATGGGGATTCCTATAGTTAAGCACCCCGAGGTGACTCACTTCGACGCGGTAAAAATTATAGTAGGGTGCACTAGAGAACCACGGCCAACTAATATGTTGAAATATAGGCTATATTCTACAAAATAACTGAAAACCAAAAAAAGTTATCGTTTTTTAACATAATGACGACCACTTTGATTTGGCCCTCTACCTGGGTCAACGGAACTTCAGCCGGCTCACCCCGGAACGCGGTTGCATAATGCCGCGCATTTATACACGAACAGGGAAATCTTCACAATCCAACTCATACAGTGTACAAGCCGATACCTTTCTATACCACATAGCGCAGTTCATTCATGGCTACCTCTCACATAAGTCGCTCTAGCCAGGATGCAAGAGGTTTATCTGCACTACTTTCTATAACCGTGTCCCATAAATACTGTGTTCTGCGGCCTTAATAGGACACAGCAAGATACAATAGGGAAAAATCACCGCTTGCTTTCGGGCCAAAAAAAATTAAAGTCATGCGATCCCTTTTCCTTTGTCTTCTTGACCTATCTAGTCGGACACCATGATGACAGAAAGGGGGGCGTTGTTACAAACGGAAAATGAAGAGAGCGCGATTTTAGGGCCAATAACGTTAACCCCCAGTCCTTGGCTTCTTTGGTCGGAAAACACCAGACTTCTTTTGCAGGCTGAATAAATCGTAGAAATCGGCCTAAAAAGGGTATTAATTCTCTCAAGGTAGCCGGCCATCGACGATCAAATTGGCCTGCGAAAAATTTGATCGTCGATGGCCGACTACCTTCTCTCGCCAATTAATACCCTTTTTGGGCCGATTTCTACGATTTATTTAGCCTGCAAAAGAAGTCTGGTGGAGACTAGGTGTTGTTGCAGGCGTGAACAAAGAATTATATTAGAAGACAAAAAAATAGTGTCCAATGCCTACCAGTCCTTGGCATCTTGTTCGGACAATACGACTTGATTGGCAAAAAAAGGGGGTACGGTGGTGACCTACGATGAAGACGACGTACAAAGCTTTATCATATTAGATCACAACGTAAGGGGTTGAGATGGTAAAACTTCACTCTAGAAGAACACTTGATTCGGCCCCGGATCCGTCAGTGATCTAATATGTTATGTTGGATTACGATCTGTCTTTAGATAAATCTAAACATGGAGGAAGATTGTCGTAAGTATTATATATTGTCTGGTGGCGACATGAATATAAGTGTATAACTTGAGTGTGTCGCCACCGCGTCTTGTCACTATATATATCACTGTTTCAATAAAAAGAAAGAAAGATATTCAGCATGTTGTTTTACGATACAGTACGCGTTTGGTACAAACTTGTGTAATCTCTGACTAAGTAAAGCGGTCTCTATTGAGAACCATGTTGATTGCGGAATTCAATGGATTGTCAAGCGTAATAGAAGACGGGTATTTACCCATACACGCGCCTTATAAATTTTCCGAGTCGAGCATGTTCGTTGTTTTAGATGTAACTGTGGTAGGTCAATCAGTTTGCTGTTTTAAGATTTTATGTTCAAAAACTTTTACGGGGCCGAATCGTCCTCGGCTAAAAACGTATTTATGGGCGGTACCCCCCTCTCCCCCCCAAAAAACACAACAACATAAAAATACGCCTCACGTAGCTTGTTTTGGGCTATATCAGTGGATGTCTTTTAAAACTATACATAATTAAAAGACGTACCTGTGGACCAGTTGTGAAACACTGCTTGTCGTTTGACGATCAACCCCGTTCTGGTGAGGACGGACAAATGAACGCAGCTGAAAGTATAGGGAACAGGCAATTGTAAACTGGATAGATTGGTTTTGATGAACGTATACTGGAATCTTTGTCGACTTCTGCACAAAGCAAAAGAATATCTAGGTCACGCATAATTAGCCTGGATGCCAGACTATTTTCATGACCCACAAAAGACAGCTTTTCGGCTCCAGGGCCAACATGCCACCAACGAAATTTTACCACAGCCATTCAGAAACCTCTAGTCTGGTTAACTATATATGACAGCAGGTCATGAAAAAGAGATTTAGGTCACGCATAATTAGCCTGGATGCCAGACTATTTTCATGACCCACAAAAGACAGCTTTTCGGCTCCAGGGCCAACATGCCAGCAACGAAATTTTACCACAGCCATTCAGAAATCTCTAGTCTGGTTAACTATGTAAAGGTGTCATTGCACCTGTTTTGTCCTCCCCTCCAACTATATATATTTACTCGTGGTTCATTTAAGTAAACAAACAAATAAACAAACTATGAAAGCAGATCAGGAAATAGATGTCTGGATGTTTAAAAAATATACAGTGGACAAGGTACATATTGTTTTTTTCCATCCCTCAAGATTTTCACTTTTAAGTTACTTAAATTCATTCATACTACAACTTTAATTCCAACTAGATCTAGATGACTTGTACCTTGTCCACTATAGCTATAAATGTCAATAGTTGACAGATTTCCTTATCTAAAATATTCTTGAACATTTTACCGTTACTAATTCTAAATATTTTTAGATAGAAACACAGAGAAACAAAACGTATAGATTCAGTATCTTTTATTTGTTGCCATTTTTACTCATGAGATTTCAGGGTAAAACAGCAAAATGTCAGAACAACGTAATACAAAAGCTGAGCTGGCAGAAGAAGTTGTTTTGATTACTAACTAAAGTAACTATGACAAGACCATGATCCTTCAATTTGCGCCAGATGATTTAACCATATGCATGGGCTAACAATAATGAAGACTTGACAGAGACAGCACGCGTGTTCTACTTCTTAATAAACTTTAATCGTTTTAAAGTAATCCATACCTCATCCATAAAACAACTTTCTATTAACAATTTAAAGATCATCCAGGTAAAAACTTAAAAAAGGAGACATAAACTCAATGACAAAAAAAACGTATCCGTACAATTCCGTTCCTTTATAAATGTACTAGCCAGCAAAGTCACCAAAATTGTTCAAATTCACATCAATATATTAACACACCATCTTCAGACATCATGATTTAAGTTGCTGTAGGTATTATTTCACATGACCAAGGGCACAGAAACATCGCCCTGAAGCAGAAATTTTAGCTTATTAATCATAAACTCCATCACCACAACAATGCTGAGTCAGAAGTATTGGCACAAATTTCGAAAAAAAAAATCGTTAATTGTGCTGTAAAATGCCCCGCCCCTGTGGCGCCGGCAAAAATAATCGTAGATGTCAACAGACCGGTCCCAAATGTCCATCACAATTAGAGGTTCAACCAATGAGAGAGCGGCAAGAAGCGGTTTGACCAATGAGAGAGATCTTCAGCGGATGGATCCGGGGAAGACGAAGTCTGGTTCGGTGGGCTGCCATCCGCTCGTCTCGCACACCTCATCGAAGACGCTCCGTTCGTATTCTCCCATCCAGACCTCCCCGTGCGGCACGTACTCATTCGTTTCCCGTACGGGGTGACTCGAGAACGCGAACCCTGACGGCCACGTCAGAGCCTCCTTGTTGAACACTTCGGCCAGGGGAACCTCTATGTCGGCATCATTGATGTCTGCCTTGACTCCGAGCTTCTCCATCGCCTCCAGAAAAACCTTGGATTTCTTCTCGACGAGGCTCTCGTAGCTGAGAGCAGCGTGGAAGAACTTGTCTGGCTCTTCCTCTTGTAGCTTCAAGGCGTGCTTCATTGCACCTTGCCAGAGCGTTATGATGTAGAAGGAGATGCTTTTGTCGTCTTCATCGGTAGTCACGTCGTCTCCGAACACCACGACAGAGTCGTAATCTTCCTGCCATTCATAGTTCTGTCGTCCTGTCTTCATGGCCTTCCGGAAGTTGCGGAAATGACGCATTTTATTATCGAGCATAAGCCGAATGTGGGACTCGTAAAACTGCATGCCGTTCCTGTACAGGAACGCTGTTTTCGCTCGCGGGAGAGCCTTTGCCATCAATTTGCCGACGTAGAACTGGCTTGGGTGCAGCGAGTATATTATTGTTGAACGCTGCAGCGGATCCGACTTGAGGAAGTAGTAGTTGAGGAGCGTGGTGATGTTTTTAATGAAGGCGGTTCCAGTCACCTCATCTCGGAAAAGTTCGTTTTCGTCGTCAGGGATGTCCAGTTCAGCCCAGTTGGCGGCTTCGGCGATGGCAGCGTACACTTCGGGCAGGTTAACCGCCTGAACGTTCGGCAACGTGTTTGCTGCGTTCATGAAGAGTGTGGAACCGCAGCGCCCTGAAAAAAATGGATAGAAATTACACACATTTACAAAACTGTAATATCTTTGACATAGTTCAAACATTTCTTGGCTGTACGGGTAGATTCTCTCATAATACACATACCGAATATCACAGTTACGGTTGGCAATAGGAACCTATGGTCCCCATGTCCCTAAGTCCCCATGTCTTTAGTCCCCATGAAAGTACTTCCTCACATTTCAATCTCAAAAATTCTTCTGCACCAGAGAGCCAAAAGAGTCTGTTTCCCAAATGTAGAACGAAAACAGGGGGTTGACCAGCTCAAACTCTGACAACGCTGACAACAGTAAACAACCCTACATTTTACCTAATTTGCTCATGTATCCATCCGCCCTGGGCAGGCCAGACCTCATCACTTAGGTTTCTCATTGTGCCCACTAGACTGGTGATATGAACAAACTTTGGCCAAAGTATGAATGTTTAGACCCTATATTTTTCTTCTAGCCAAAAGTCTCCAAACTACATCAAAATTTTCAAGAGAAAAAAGGATACTCAAAGATATTAACCAGGGACCACATACACGGCCTAGCTCTGCCAGTTCAGAGGTGTCTCAACACATCCACATAGAGTCACCCAGACATTTTGTTTCATTTGACACTGTAAGGATTTTAGACACTGAACAAGACTATTTCTTGAGAGGGGTGAGGGAAGCCATATACATCAGGGGCCATCACCCTTCATTGAACCACGACGGGGGCTGACATCGTCTACCAGATACCTTTGACCCAGTGTTGACGTCACACTTCAGAGAAGCCATGTAACAAGCTTCACTGGGTCAGTTTACTGAGGAAGACCAGAGTGACCGGTCGTAAGCTCTAGGTGAGAGAATTTTTTGTGTTGGACCAAAAGTTTTAACTTTAAACATGTAACTACCAACACAGAGGAACTTTCATGATTGCAAGGACCACATTTTGGAGGCCCCTACTGCGTAACGCAATTGTGACGTCTGCCCACCTGTCATGTACAAGAAGATCTCCTGAACATGCTCAACTTCTTCAGCAATAGAATCAGCGACTTCTTGTAGCTTGGACAGAGGGATCATCAGGAGTTTCTCGGCATTCTCACGTTGACCCTGAAAAAACAAGATGATGCAATTGTCATTTCAGGGAGACAAATATAGAGTTGCAACCACCCACCTTGTGAGAGTAACCCATACTACACCCGTTTTTAGGGCAACGGACATCAAACAGATGAAAACTGATGATATGAACAAAATTTGGCCACTAGTATCCCTGGAAGGGGTGAAAATCCTCGATTCTGACTTCTTTGCAAGAGGAGTAAAGGAGGCGGTTTACATAAGAGCTCACAGACCTATCCTGAACAGAGACGAGGGGCGACACAAGATATCTGGCACGTATGACCCGCTACTACGGTCACGTGTCTCTGACGTCACGTTCCAAGAGTAGACGGGTCCATTCCGTGAACAAGGTTGATGGAGTCAACCGAAAATTTGGGTAAGTTCCAATTCTGTAATCTCAGTGTTGGAAGTTAAAGCTTAGTCTTTATTTCATAATGATTTGTACCAACACAGATGGACTTTCATGCTAAGATGGAATCATGTGCATGTACACACACACACACACACACACACTTACCTGTAACAATCTACAGTACGGCCTCAGGTCAACCCCTTCTGTTGTCTTCACCAATATAACCTCCTCGTCCTCAAAGTCGACTGTGTAGATAGAATACTCGTGGCCATGTTCCTTGAAGAATGCCACCACATCTTCTATCACTTCGACTTCGGTGCCCTCCACCTCTTCGAAGTCATCGTCGACGTCGGCTTGCTCCTTGCTCAACAGCTCCCAGTCTTCTTTTTCGATGTACGTGACTTGTTGTGTGTACACTTTGCCGGCGTACTCTGGTCAGTGGATAAGGCAGTAAAGATTGTTATTGTTATGCTGTTATTTAAGCGGATGTTGTTGTAAATACATGTTGTAATTGTCGCTATTAAGTTAACTTGTAATTGATTATATTTCATGTTTTAAATGTAATGTTAAAGGACTCCACGAAGATTAGTAAACAAACATTGTATTACTAATGGAGATTCCTAATAAACATAAACATAAATAAACATAAAAAGCATGGTAAGATTAATGATTAATGAAATAAACGTACATAGTGGGTATAGAGCTACACTCGGTACAGTTGAAGTTGGAAGTAGAGGATGGATTAACAGTGAGAACACTGCGAAACTGAAGTCACTCTGCCTAGTCAGTCATAAGGACCGTTAAGTCAGACATCTTAAAAGTAGCTAGACTGGGGAAGTGCGCACTTTGTGCATCTTATGCCATATACTGCGCTAGAAACACACAGGGTTGGGAAAGTACCTCAGGGCTATTCTCTTGTAAAAGATAAATTTGATGCAACAGGCTTGATTCTTTTCTTTTTTTTGTAAGTATACGTATAAATGAAATGTATGTGTAGAAAACAATTTTAATCGAAAAGTTTAATGTCCGAGGCACACAGTTACTTGTTATATTTTACTTACCTTGCGCCCTCCTCTTAATTATAATGAGATAAAGGGCTGGCCTAGGTGTACTTCAACGAGTCATCTTGTATATATTTGTATATTGAAATAAAGATGATTTTAACCCCCATTTTCGCGTACATCTGTTTCATGTTTGGTAAGAGTGGATGGAAGTAGAGTCTTTGTATGTGAACCTTTTAAGTGTTGTCGGTTAACTTCTGGTCCCGAAATTTTCCTTGAGGATCAAAATTTTTAATGGTATTTGGCTGTTGGCCCTGGAGCCGAGAAGCTGACTTGTGGCTACGCTTGGTTATTGTCTGTGAGTGTCTATAATCATGAACTTAGTTTATATGTTGGGCATCAACAAACTGAGGCTTTTTCCCCTTCAAATTTGAAATAAAAAGTCTGGTAACGATGGAGTCTTACAGAAACTGTTGAAAGATCTGGCAGCCCACTGGGTGATAATCCACACAAGCCACTGGCACTGCCATATATGTATGCGTAGCCTGGGTTCCAGACCCATAGCACACTGGACACAAAATATTTTGTATCCAAGATATTTTGTATCCAGTGTGCTTTGGGTCTGGCATCCAGGCTAGTGTATGCGGGGCAAAAGCCACTATTTCTCTCAGGCTCAGAAGGCCCATTCGAATAATTCTGAGTCCCCTTTGGTGAGTCCTGCGATCCAAACCAACTGAAAACAGCCCTTTTCTTGGTATGTGTGGATAAATGCTGGTATTTTCCAGTTGGAGAGTTATTTCTGTTTCTATTTTGGCGAAAAAAAGGATTTTGGTCTTGTTTTGGCTGCCTGACAGAGTTTTAAAAGGAATGCCACGCTGTTGTGTTTTGGTGATGTACAGGGGGGATTAGAGGTCATGACCTCAGTGTTTCCATCTATCGTACTTATTTTGTCTGGATGAAATATAAGATTTTGGGACTAAATGGACAATTTGGAGGTTGGACTACCCTGCCAATGTGTGTATGCAATAGTTGAACATTCAAGTAGGTGATTTTTGACGATGTTAACCATATATTCCAATAGGGGCTGGAAATAGTTGTCTGTGCCCTTTGACAGTCTTATCATAACAAAAGAGGTCATTTAGTATTTCCGCATAAATTATGCAAATGAGTTCTTGATTTGAATACGTTTTGTTTAGTGACATTTACCTTCATCTTCTTCATATTCGTCTTCGCTGTCCCAGTAGTCGTCGTCGTCGTCGTATCCTTCTTCTTCCTTGTTCTTCTCTGGGTCTTCTTTCTCCTTGTTCAGTTGCCCTGGGTCTTCTTCCTTGTTCTTCTCTGGGTCTTCTTTCTCCTTGTTCAGTTGCCCTGTGTCTTCTTCCTTGTTCTTCTCTGGGTCTTCTTTTTCCTTGTTCAGTTGCTCTGGGTCTTCTTCCTTTTTCAGATGCTCTGGGTCTTCTTCCTCCTTGCTCAAAGGCTCTGGGTCTTCTTCCTCCTTGCTCAAAGGCGCTGGGTCTTCTTTTTCGGCAAGCTCGAGCTTGCTCAAAACCTGCTCAAGCTGGTGTTCGTCCGCCATTTTACCGAAGCCTGGTCAATGGATAAGGTATTAATTAAAAACATTGTAAAGCTTTACTATAGTAACGATCGACTCTCACTGGCCCACACACCGATTACTAGTATCTAATCAGTAGTAAGGCCATCTTGATTTGATTATATGGATGGCATCCTCTGGGAACCCCAAAACTGACGCGAGCGTGCGAATAAAAAAGTTTGGCAAAAAAGTTTCCTTCATTATGAAATCTACGTGGTCATATAGGTTGAACTTAACACACGTGTGTATGGCGAATAAAATTTGGTGGCTTTGATCAGAGCCCATCCAGTTGGCCAAGACAACTTAATAGCAAAGACGGTGATATTTTTTTGCATTTAGAAGTTATAGAAAGTCGACATGTTATTGCAGTTTGACAATTTTGGTTACTTTCATAAAACAATGGTAACTGACAGACAACGTACATGGAGTGCCACCTATACTATAGATCTATTTCTGTAATGCAATGCATGTATGAAATGATATTCGTCTCTTTTACATTAGGTTTTTAAAGCATCCAATGCAGTTTCAGGGCGGCAAGACTAGTCTTTCAAAGTCAATTTTTCATGTCATTCTTTTAATGTAGTAAGTTGAACCAATCCTGTCCCATAGAATACTGATATCTGTGAGGTAAAAATGCGACGTTACGGAAGGAAAATGCCCATGCTTGCTTGCTTTGAATCGTAGGCTGGTTCTAGCTACTAGTGACTGTATATTTATGGGTGCAGCCCAAATAAATAAAGAGACGCCTCACGTAGCTTGTTTTGGGCTATTTCAAACGCTTGAACTATGATAAGATGACAAAAATGTGCTACGAAATGTGCTAAGAAATGTCAGTAAATGTCAACATGGCAGATTTCCTCATCCAGAATATTTTGCTACGCTGAAATTACAGTGGATGTAAAAAAGCGGTTACTCAAGCAACTGGATATGATTTTGGAAACAGTTAGACGTCCTCTGGTCTCTCAGTCACTGACGAAAGCTAGTGGATACTAGCTGAAACGTCTGACCGTTTCCAAAATCATATCCAGTTGCTTGATGAGTAACTGCTTTTTGATGTCTTTTAAACTATACATAATTAAAAGACGTACCTGTGAACCAGTTGTGAAACACTGCTTGTCGTTTGATGATCAACGCCGTTCTGATGAGAACAGACAAATGAACGCAGCTGAAATAAAAAGGAACAGACAATTAAAACCCGGATAGACTGGTTTTGATGAATCATTGTCGATGTCTGCGGAAATCAAAAGAAGTCGCGCATAATCAGCCTGGATACAAGACTATTTTCATTACCCACAAAGGCAAGTTTTTCGGCTCCAAGGCCAACATGCCACGAATTAAATTTTATTACATGTACAGTCATTAAAAAATCTCTGGTTAAGTATAAAAATAATTAACGGCTCTCGGTGGCAAATTTGCAGATATTGGCACATTGGCGCACCAAATCCGTAGTTTTTTTTAAACACAGATAGGCAGATATAGTATAGAGTGTTTTGGCACACAGTTAGACAGATTAGGTGGGGAAGTCGTGTAAATTCTTTCCCAAGGGCACAACGTCAGGCCACGGTACTCTCCAAGCAGAGGTTGTGGGGGAATGATCGTTAGCTTTTTATATATGGCCGTTTTTGTCGCTACCCCAATCTGGATTAGATGAATATCAGGTGAATATGAATATAATATATATATAGATAGAAAGGGTTTGTGAGAGTTCAATAAATGTGATGAAAAGGAGAGGAGAAAGATGTAGTTAAACCGGTAAATAGGCAGACCCGTTAAAGACATACCTGTGTACAACTTGTTGCTCCGAACACAGGAAATCAGACAAGTGAAAGACAACACATGCTGTAAGTGGATGTACCGGTCTGATGTAATGATGACACATTATGTAAGTTGTCTGATGATGCCTGGGGTTAATGGTAATCTGACTGAACTTTATTTGCTTCTGGCCTCAAATGGGCTATGGCAAACATACAGTATATACATTAAAATCAAACGTACAAATATACATATAACATAATAGAGAAATTAATTAAAAGTCAATAAATACAATTCATCAATCAACCAATAAACTAGAGGTCGGAGATCCCATGTCTTCTGACTGTGGTGACAAAATTCCCCCTTCCCACTACTCTACTGCATTGAAATGAATTATACGTATGAACACACAAGCAAACATAAATACCGGTAAAAATAAAGAGTTAATGCCCTGCCCCAAGGTGTATATCGTGAAATAATCCCTGGTCAGGTGCAAAAACCACCGAATGAACCACAGAGTGAGTGTGTTTAATTTTTTTTTTAATTGTGTTGTATTTTCAAATAAATTATTCAAAATAAACTGCATTTTTAATAGATAAATACTACAAATCTTAACACTACTGTTAGTGTCCTGTCCCCTGTATAATGGTACGGTTCAAAAATTGTCAAAAATTATTCTAATAACCAACCACTTTTGAGGTTATGGCCTGATAACCAATGGGAAATGGAGCCTTCTGATTGGTCGATGTCGGCTGGCTATGATAATTACGCTTGAATTATAGTTCTCTGAAATAGGGCCACTAACATGGGGATGATGTTACATGGAATCTTAGTTCTTCCGATGGTTAATCGTTGAGTGTTCCAGTGTTCCAGTGACGGCCATGTAGGTAGTACGACTCATGTATGACCAGTGAAGGTTTAATGTCAGACAGCTGCGAACAGCCTGGAATAGGAGAGGAACAAATAAGATACTGTCCTGAGGGACTGTCCAACATCCCTATGTTACAACGTTGGGGTATTGGAGGTTGGTATGCCCTTTTCTGTTGGGTGTATAGTGAGCCATTTTAATTTACTGTTAATCGTACTCAGTCGCTTTAATTCAACGTTGTTGAGAAATTCTTCGTAAGGCATAATTGGTCATTTTAATTCCAGGTAATTTGTTATCCTAAATTCAATATAATAAAGCGTTATTGAAAAATTCTTCGTATTGCATTAGTCAAATGCCAGATTGTCCAAAAATCAAAATGGAGCGTCCAAGGTCCTCAGACTAGTTTTACCAGACACCCCATTGATACAAAAGAACAATTCAATGATTGCCAAAGCCTTACATTAGATTACAAGTTAGTTTACCATTAAGTGTTGCCAGCTTTCCTGAAATAAGTGTTAAGCTTGGTATTGACTAATAAGCACTCCAAAATTTACCGTAAAGTGTGGTTAGGATCCCCCATTGGAACAAAGAGTTGTCAGTATAGCTCTGTCAGCAAGTATTTTTAAAATGACTTTAAGGATTACTTGGAACATAGTGTTGTCGGAACATATAGGGGTGTCAGAACAAACGGTTACCAGAACAGACATTAAGAAAAGATTTACATGAGTCTTTGACATACCTGCCTGTGCCATAGCCAGATTGAGCTGTTCTTTGAACAGTTGTAGAACTTGGTGGACCCCTTCTGCACCCTGCAATCAAGGATGTAAATAAGACTGGCCTTAGTGGGCTGAGTATATAAAAAGATATTCAGATATACATATTTTTTCTGAAAAAATCCGAGAAGCAATAAATCAAATTGGTGTGGCCTTAGACTTGTACTTATTACCTAGTATATGATAACTAGTATATATATATATATATATATTCTTAAAAACCTACGTTAGCTGCAAGTCCCCAGAGAACAGGCCGACCAATGAACACACATCGAGCCCCCAGCGCCAAGGCCTTCAGCACATCTGTCCCAGTCCGGACACCTCCGTCCACGTAAACCTCCACCTTACCGCCAACCGCACGCACAATGTCTGGTAGTGCATCAATCTGGGAGTGGCGGGGGGAGGGGGGTAGGTATTAGTGCTGCATACCTAAACTCATGTTCATGTTCAGGTCCGGATTGAAGTCCAAAGGTTTAGGTTCAGGTCCAGACCATTAGATAGCTTGGAAGTTAGAAGTTTGGTTATACCGGCTATACAGATACAGATACAGACCTGTACGTCCAACCTAACACCATGGCATATAGAAAATTGCATATTGGCAAATATTTTGTAGTGCACACGTACCGTGCTACCAGGGTTTAGAGGCAATATAACAAAAGTTACTAGTATCAAGATGCATTATTTGCAGAACACGTCTGGGTGAATCTATCTATCTTAGATATTTGAGAAAAATCTTTTAAGAAAATTTTGAGATTTTCTTTTTGAATATTGAGAATTTTCAGATCTTTTTTTATTTTCAACGATGCATGGCGACTCTAGCTGGGGGGTCATTATGATCCGTACAGTGACAGGGAAGTTATTCGCAAAATATTGGCTATGTACTTAGTATAAGCTGAAAACAGTTAAAAGGAGACTTTGCCCAAAGTGACCTGGATTGCCCAAATTTAATCTGGATGCTGTTTCAGGTGATTCGAACTCACAACCTCTTGGTTCACTAACCACTGGACTACACATGGTCAAACAGTAAAACTTACAGAAGCTGGTACTCCGTCCAGTTGTCTGCCTCCATGGTTGGACACACAGATACCGTCAACACCAACTTTGACAGCTTCCTTTGCATCTTCAGCTGCAAAGATATCCTTGTGTTAAGGCCACACCAATTTAATTTCTTGGTTAACGGATTTTTCTAGAAAAATAATGGAGCAGGTGGGCGAAAAAATTAAAAATAAAAACAGGCCTAGGCATCCTATTATGGCCCAAAATGGTACGATAGGAGCCATGAAGTCAATACACCAGGCTGGTTCAAAATTTAAACAATGAATTTTCAACTTTAAATGATACCATTGCATTGAAAGACGGAATAACTGTAACAACTAGGATGAAAAGGACTGTTTTCAACTGTTCAGGGCAAAATATGAGCATTTTGCAGTTGATTCTGAATTTTTATATTTATTTGCAAATCAGAAAAAAATGAAGCGAGCGAATCCGTTAACCAAGAAATTAAATTGGTATGGCCTAATCAAAACATAACAACGGCAACACAAAAAAAACTGCAATTAGACAAGTAACTGAATAAGATTTCGAAAACTGTCATTGGCAATTGTAATAGACAGTTTTCAAAACGTATCCCGGTGCTTGTAATGAGCAACAATTTTTTTGCGTATAGGACCTTTTTACCCCCCGACACTCTGCCTGTCAATCTTCCCCACAAACTTGCTGTCAACCTACTCTATCTTAGCCTGGGTTCCATCCTGGTTAGTTTACGTCCGCTCCCAACCATTGGTTGGTGGTAGCAACTGTGGGAGTGGACGTAAACTAACCAGGATGGAACCAAGGCTAACTCTATCTAGACAAACACAAAAAGTAAAAAACACAAATGTATATGTCAGGTAAAGTCATACACAATACATGTATCTATACACAGACCTGATAGAATTCCTTTCAGTACAATTTTGAGCGACGTATTCTTCCTCAACCAGACCACATCGTCCCACGTGATTGGCTGCTTCACGTTGTCCCTCAAGTACGCGGTAAACTCCGGGGAGCGAGCGTCACCGGGAGCATCGTCAAACGTCAGGTTAGGAAGCCTGCAGGAGGAAATAACAGGAAATAAAGGGGGAAATGTTATAACCACAGACTAACAGGAAGGTTGAATTGGAGGTTCTCCCCGCAGGCTGGGATGAAGTTAGTAAAGTAACAGGAAGTGAGGGGGAAATGGTATAACCACAGACTAACAGGAAGGTTGAATTGGAGGTTCTCCCCGCAGGCTGGGATGAAGTTAGTAAAGTAACAGGAAGTGAAGGGGGAAATGGTATAACCACAGACCCAACAGGAAGGTTGAATTGGAGTGACAGGAAGTGAGGGGGAAATGGTATAACCACAGACTAACAGGAAGGCTGAATTGGAGATTCTCCCCACAGGCTGGGATGAAGTTAGTAAAGTAACAGGAAGTGAAGGGGGAAATGGTATAACCACAGACTAACAGGAAGGTTGAATTGGAGATTCTCCCCACAGGCTGGGATGAAGTTAGTTAAGTGACAGGAAGTGAGGGGGAAATGGTATAACCACAGACTGACAGGAAGGTTGAGTTGTAGGTTGAACTCCCTGCAGGTTGAGAGGAAAATTAAGCAAAGTTACTGGTACCTCATATTCAGTTTCCTGTAATATTCATGCCTTATGGAAGCCAGTGGGATATTATAAATAGACAAATTTTACATCTCTTGTTGGCAAATGTGCTGATGTTGGCACATTGGTGCACCAAATCCGTAGTGTGTATTGGCACACATTCTGACAGATTAGCCCAAGGGCACAAAGTTGGGGCACCGTGAGTATCAAACCTGAGACCTATTGTTTCAGAGTCCAAAGCTCTAACATTTGGCCACCGATGCCACGCAATAAAATAGACAGAATAGTGAAAAAGTCATAATTAGGAGTAAAATAAGAAATTCACATAAAAAATCTTTGATTTCATGTTTTCTGCAGCAGTTATACCTCACACCTTCTGCTGACTTCATCTCACTTTCTGGACGATGTTGGAACTGGAATCGCGGCTGGTCCACCGTTAGCCAGATCGCGGTGAAGCCCGCTCTCTCCGCTCGCTGGAGTAGTTCTCTGGTACGGTCGGGATCGTTCTGCAGAATCAGGTAGAACCACCTGACGCCATGCGGCGCGGTCTGGGCAATGTCCTCCATGGAACAGTTGGCGAAAGAGCTGAGCACAAAGGCTGAGTTGGCAGACGCTGCACCTACATTGAAGAACAATTCAAGAAACTTTATTAGCATGTTTCAGTTGAACGACAATATCACAATCATACCAATCAGCTCATCAAACATAACTGGAAATTAAAGCAGTATTTGCAAGCAAATGCATTATATTTCACTCCCCATCTGTCAACTCTACCAAATTTGACTGTTCCAAAATTTCTGTTTACTCAGAAATGAATTTTAACCAAAAAGGAACTACCGGTATTCCAACTTAAATATATCAACTTGATCTCAAGTGACAATGCAATCTACAAAAGGCACCCCCATTCAAAATAGACCATTCCATCCCATAATTTATTTTCCTCTAGCTCCCAAAGTGGCATTAGTAGGTACCATCCTGGTCAGTATAACAAGGATGGCACCCTGGATATTGTGGCATTATTACTTACTCTCCATGCGGAGCATAGGCCACTTATATTTCACTCCATGTAGCATTTAAAGGAGTGAAATATAAGAAAACTCTTTAATGACAGCTAATGACAGCTAACCTGTTGCTGTTGCTTTTTCGCCATCAGGATGTGCGAGTGAGTGGTGGGCAGTCGGTGCGATGGCTACAGGCATGTCCAGTTGGCTGCCCAGGACGGTGGCTGTAGTGTCCACTCTGGACACATCACGAAGGACACGTGGCAGCAATCTGTACCTGGGTAGTCAAAATGTTACAAAATTAGCCAAAACAGGGAGGAACGATGGAGACCTGAGAGTATCAGGCTGCACCGGGGCAAATGTTACAACTTGAGCTTTTACCTAAGTGGGAGGAATGAATGTTTGGTAAAAAAACATTCTTGCAGATGTACCTTTACCTGCATCTGCAAAATGTACAAAAACTTTAGAGGGAGGAAAGAACAGTTAGAAGTCATAAGGATGACTGGATAATATGCACATAAAGTTGAAACAAGAAACTTTTGGGGCTTTCTATTTATCAATCAATCAATCAATCAATCAATCAATCAATAAATCAATCAACCAGTCAATCAATTAGCCAATCAATCAGCTAATTGAGGTAATTTGAGGTCAAATGAGATGAGGTAATTTTTAAAAAACTTAACATTTAAAGGCATTAATGATGAACAATGTTTGAACCATTTTGAACTTATAAAGTCAGCAAAAGTTTTATTATATTATTAAAGATCATCAACATGAAACCTACAGTGGACCTCACTGGAAGACAGAAGAAAGATGTCTAGACTATGCATGATGTACAAAATGACTAATAAACTGGTGGATGTCCCAACTACTAAGTACCTAATACCAGCCCAGAAGAGAACAAGAAATAGCCATGCATTCAAGTACCAGAGTTATCAACCAAGGATTGAGGTGTTCAAGAATTCATTCTTTCCTAGAACTATCGCAGAGTGGAACTCACTGTCACCAAGTACAGTAGGGGCATTGTCAATAGATAGCTTTAAACAATGTCTAGAGCTAGAAGTTCAAGGGTTAGGTGTAACAAGTCGATCGGTGTAATATAGCCAGCTGCCGCCGCGCCGCGTGCCTGCGAAGCTGGTGTGTTACGCCGAAAGGCGGTTTTACCGGCTATACAGATACAGATACAGATACAGAACATGCAGAGAGCATTACAAGGTGCGCCCTCTTGAATGAGGTCAACGTTCACTAGGTCAAAGTCCACACAGTTGTTTCCAGCAAGAATGAAAGTTAAAAATTAACAATCCAAGTTTTAACAAATTGAAGTGTCAATGCAAAGAAAGTATCAAAATATCATAGAAATGTTTACCTAAACTCGGAGACAAACGAAACAAAAAGCTGGAAAAGCCCAGGCTAATTAAAAAGTTGCAACATATGGATGCATTGATATTCAATCAAATTACATGTAACTTTATCTGCGTCTGTAAGACATATACTGATATATCCACACTTGCTATTATACGTTTATTACCAGTTCGCAATGTTGTTTGAAAGGGGCAAACATTCCTTATTTGTCGCAATTTGTCCACGTATACATTCAAGATGGGAAAGGGACTGCTATTTTTGGATGAGACACTCAACGTTTTAATACGTACCTCTGAAAAGCCCGCTCATTTTCCTGAATTGTGAAGCCATTACACGATGGAAAACTGTAGTATTCCCACACGTCGCTAGGTAGACGCTTCTTTGCTAAAGATTTGAAGTCCTCAAGACGTGAGAATGACACTTGAGACGCGCAACAGGACACAGAACTCATCTAGATTTTCAGTTGTGTATCTTAACACTTCCAAACAGTTTGACCGGGAATAGGTCAAAGGTCACTACCTGCTTACTCAACAAGTGTCGCAATTTTTAGACAGTAGCATAGGGAGATTTTTTTATTTATTTAGGTTGTATAAAATGATATACAGTTAGGACTGCCCAACTATCCGGAGGCTATTTAAAAGTGTACCCGGAGGAATGTCCGCTCACCTGGAGGAGTGTACGCTCAAACCTGGAGGAATGTCCGCTCACCTGGAGGAGTGTACGCTCAAACCTGGAGGAATGTCCGCTCACCTGGAGGAATGTCCGCTCACCTGGAGGAATGTACGCTCAAACCTGGAGGAATGTCCGCTCACCTGGAGGAGTGTACGCTCAAACCTGGAGGAATGTCCGATTTTGTGAGGAATGTACCAATTTCGGAGCAATGTCCAGATTAGATTGGTCGGAGTGTTTAAGCTGGGTATTGTGAATTTCTCATACTAGTAAAAAGTTAGGTTCAAATGATTTTATTATAAATAAAGAAAAAGTATGTATCCCGCTGCAATTTCTATGTGCCATTCTATTTCAAAGTGGTAAATTGCTTTAATTTGACGTGTAATTGAGTTAAACTACAGCACACATATGTAAAGCGCTTTGTTTTGTTTATTATTAATGATAAATACCCACCTTGCCTTTTTCCGGAATTCCAAAGCGAAAGATGGCGTCAGGAGGCAAATCGCGTCGTAGCGTCGCAAGTTTGGACGTACCTCGAGCTCGCCCCTGTAGACTGGATATAATATCAGCACTCCAGCTCAATGTCGACCTAAAGGTGAGAATACTACTGCGTTCTTCTTCTTCAATCAAGAAGTAGAATTCATTTTTCACCACCAAACTCTTTGTATGTATAGACTAATGGAATGGAAATGTGTGCAGTCCATGTATTCGCAATAGTAACCACCCACCAAGGAGCCTGCTAGGGAGGCTACAGCTGGATCCTATCTGCTGCAAACTCTCGCGTGTTTGGGCGGGATCACGCGAGAGCATGACGTCACCTAATTATGCCACAAAGTCAAGTCTATGCAGCTGCACATTCATGTACAGTAAGTTCTCACGGGCATAAGTACAAAAATACAAGGCACTTGCAAAACATAACAAAACGGAAAAATCAAATGACAAATATAATAACACGAAATGAAAAATCAAATTATAAACTTGATCGATTCGTTTTTTCTGCACAAAATGGAATCTATGTACCACAACAGATAGCTCGAGTTTGTTGAAGTGGGCGGTTGACAGTGAACTTCACAGGTTCATACTTACCTGGCAGAGATGGCACAGTGATCAGAAAGGCTGTGTCTCTGTCACGTCGAAAAGTTGAAAAAAAAAAGAAAATAGTTAAAAAACCTCCTGTCTCTCTTGTCTAGTTTTCACTCTTTTTTTGATTTTGTTATACCCCAATTAAAAACGGGAAAGGCTGTCCGTCATGAGCGAGGCCTGACCATTGCACTCCGGTCGGGCTGACCCCATCGATTACCCCAAATGCGGGTAACTCGGCTGCGTAATTTATGATAGTGGGGGTCTGCGTTCGCGCTAACCCCCGCCCATACAATCCAAAAGTAGTACACTCCGCACTGTATTGGGAGACCAATCCGATGAGTAGGGTCACCAAGCCAAGGATATCGTCAGTGACATCGTCGTGACCGCTAGTTACGTATCGAAGTGAAAAGTTATTTGGTTTTCTAATACATTGTACATTGTATAAAGAAGTCAACCCTCATAATAGCTAGCGTAGTAGTAGAAGTTGAAGTTTTTCCAATTTGATCGTCGATGGCCGGCTACCTTCTCTAGTAATACCCTTTTTTGGGCCAATTTCTACGATTTATTCAGCCTGCAAAAGAAGTCTGGTGGAGACTTTAGTTGTCTGTCTACTATTATTGTATTGTACCGAATAGTGTCTTTGACTGTGAAAGCAATTAGCCTTAGGGCATGATTTTGCAAATAAACTACGTATATATTTTTGCATGAACCATAGAGTTATACATTTTGTAACTCCATGCATGGACAAAACAACATGAGTGAATGGAAGAAATATGTAAGAAATGTATTTTTTTCTGACAACGAGCTATTTTCTCATTGAGTAAAAAAAAACCCCTGTTTTTGGCGTCTATTTTCTCATTGCTACTAATACAACTGTATTTGGGATTTTGGATGCAAATTTCCCGTCCACTTGCCCCCTCTAGCAGGCCTTATCAAACTGCAGCTGTTTTCTAGTTTCCAGTAGACCGGAGCTTTTTCAAAAAATTGAATGCACTACAATATCTGTACCATGGAATGCAATTTAGCTTTCTTGCTCTCTGTCTGTGATTAAGATAAAGAAAAATAGGAAGAAAAATAGATCTGACAGTGGTCAACATGCCGAAAATGGGCAAAGATGTCTGTTGCCATGCCGGAAGGTGGATGGCAGATACCTATGAAGAGAGGAGACAAGAAAAAACTCTGATTTAATGTTTCGTTTCTTATTTTGATGCAGTGACATGTGATGCTGGCTGTGTATATGTAATGTTCCTACTGAATTAAAACCAGTAAAAATTTTGAATTGTGGGAACTTGTTTTTTTTTTCGGCCCACCTTGTTTTTTATTTCGCCCGCTCGCATTAGATTTGGACTCTTCGGAGGATGTCATCCATAAATTTTACTTATATACTGTGGCTTTGCTGAAGTAAGTACTTGGTACTAGTAATTTCCGCATCATTTAATCAGAGCTATGCGGAAACTGACTGGATGCCACTCAGACGCACTCAAGGGTGGGGACTTCTAGGAATATTGAACAAAGTTTGTTTTTGCTGAGTTAATTTCCTTGACTTAGGTAACAGGTCTGAGTTCATGATGTCTGCTATGAAAAAAAATCTGTCACACGTATATATATATAGCGGCAAATTTTAGTGAAATATCATTTCCTCACACATTCAAATCCAGTGTCACAGAACCATTTGGTTACCCCATACAGATCTAATTCCCTAGCTATTCGAACGCTAGACAGTCACTCAACTCCGTAAATAAATCCAATAGCCGGAAAACGAGTTCTTTTACGTGCTCAAAATTCAATTACTGGCAATCGATATTGCGGAAATTACGTCATGGAATATCCGTTCGCATTCCTGATCGCAGAGGTCTCCTGAGATAACCCCGCCCACCAGCTGTCAATCAAGTTACAAGGCATTGCATCATCTAGCCGGCACGCTCTGTGATTGGTCAGAGGGCTCCTCGGACCATTTGGTGACCTTACAGGAATGATTTCCCAGACTTTATGTTGTTTTCTCAAAGTATTCACTTTTATAAGGGTATATTTTCATCTAAATCTCATATCATGAAATCAAAATATAAATAATAAGATTCGAATACACTTTTTTGTTTTAAAAGTCAACATTATGCTTCTTATGTTGATATAATGATAATGTGTTTTGCAGAATTGGAGGTGTTCACAGAAATCTTTCCTCCTGTTAAGGAATTTGAAACGTTCCCATAGATGTTTCTTGGCTCCGAGCGCAGGTCACAACACTCGCTATATTGTCTTGTTTGTGTGTTGTTTGGAGAGTGTGCATTACAGCGGTCGGTTAAAACACCGACACGACTTCTTGCCATTCATTCGCAAGACATCGACGAGTTTGAGGCAGAATCAAGAGGTTAGTTCATACGTTTTGTTTCGTTCCGTGTTGCAACAACGCCCCCCTCCCCATTTTTTCCCACCCCCACATGTATGACAGATCTAGATCTCACGTGTAATCTGCATGGGACCGGTCGGCCGTATAACGCCTGTCAAATGTGGGTGTGCCCCTCCAATTTTTATCGTCTGGTATATAGTATGCCACTGTCTCCAATAAAATCATTATAGGAGAGCATAGAATGTATTTCTGCATTAGAAACATGTCTTTGTCAATGTCGCAAACACATTTTGTGTGAGTCATATTTTTCATCCTTGATCTATGCGTGCTAAAGCTGGTCGTGTTTGTCTAGGTTCTTTGTCTATCTCTTGATCATAAACCCTTATCATAATGTCGACAGCTGAGAAGCAGCCGGTCTGAACGTGATGCGATAACGCTAAAAGTCTTCTAGTCACGAAGCATGGAACCCCAGGGAACGTCTACATCCACCGTGCGTGTCCAGAGCATCGGCGGGCCTCCTGCGGTGGTCGCCCGAAGGAAGGGAACTGGCGATCCGCCGCCCTCCCCGATACGGAAGCGGATCAAAGCTGGCGAGGACAGGCTGAGAGGTTTGGAGGAAACCGGATTTTTGAGCGATCCCTCCCCTTCTCTAGACACGGAAATGGAGGCAGAAGAAATGCCAGTAAGCTTTTTTGTCTTCTCTTTTTGTTAATTTCAATAAATTTATTTCACTCCATATCCAGATTTGCTAAGAAATGTAAATAGAATACATTTTTAACTACATGTGTGCCAAATTTGGTGCTTTTTACACAAAAGTGCACATTTTTTTCAGCTACGCCGCTGAATTTTATCACAGTCTAACATAAATATGTTTTTCGTGTAAGTAAAAAATGAGAAAAAGAAATTGCAAAATCACTGTGTAATTTTACTCAAGGGAGATCTTTAATCTGATTGACACCTAACTGTTTACTCAAAGTTGTTTTTGACAACCCCCAGGAGTTGCAATTTACATGTAAAAATATTAATTTGCAAGCAATTGTTATGTATTTGTAAGTGTGTAATTCTGCATTGACCATTGTTCCAAAGACAGTGAGCTAACATTGTGGGCTAGTCACTTGGTTATAGTTTACCACTTAGACCAGATGCATCAAAATGGGTCGAATGTTCTGGTATCTACACTCCCAAAACATTGATGTCCAAACGGGTCAAATGTTCTGGTGCCTGCACTCCCGAAATGCGTTAAAACGGGTCAAAACGACTTACGTTGTGGCACCTGCACTCGATACTCGCAAACATAAAACGTGGGTCAAATATTTCGGCATTTGCACTGTCCCAAAATGTGTTATAATGGGTCAAACGTTCTGGCACATTGGATGCAGACATGCCTTGGCGTAATACTGTCTGTGATATTATATAACATCTGGATGTGAGGATTACAAATTCAGTTGGCTGTTTTGAGCAGAGTATGTATGGTGTTTTTGAATTTTTTGCCTGCCATTTTTTCCTAGATACAATGACCCATATACATGCTACATACAAATAAGCAAGGAACTTGGAACGTTGCCATAGAGCTCAAGGGTTGCATCATTCTTACTGATGCTATCATTGTATCATTTCAGGGTCACATATTCAGGTATGGTTATGCCACTGGCTATATGTTGTTGTTTTAACCTTCAGAACACTGAAGTAGCTGTTTGGCTACCAAATTTCTATGTTAGTAACTTACAGTATTAAGGCAGCAGGGAGAAATTACTCCAAAATACATGTTTTTGTACCCAAAAGGTGGAGATGGGTACAGCTCTTTCAAGTTTCGCAGTGTTTTTTTTAATTTTAGACAAATCAAAAGTGGTAGTGGCTTCTAGGAACTCAGCCAGAATTCGACTTAATTCAATAAACTTTCAAGGTCTTCTCTTTCTTTACATAAGCCCAAGCAGTACATAGCATTGTTTTCATAGAATACTTGTTAAGATTACTAAGAAATGTTGTTTTCATTTTTCAGGTTCTGTAAATTATTAATAGTTTCTAGGAATTTGGCCAGGTTTCTCTGTATTTTGATACGTTGTTTACCTCAAACAACATAACATTTTCAGCATATTATTATCAAACTTATAATATCATATTACAATATTATTTGTGAAAAACAACAGTCAAGGTCTCAAGGCCTTTCTAGACTTGTTTACATGTTCAATCAGTAATTTTATTTATTTGTGAACGGTTGTCATTTCTAGTAGTAATTCTAGGAACTCAATCAGAATTCTGCTAAGTGAAGGGCTTCTAGAGGTCATTTCCTCATTGACCTATGCCCAGATTTCAGCACACGGAAGTATGAAAGAATTTTTTTTTGGTTCAGGAAATGTTTAAGTGAGCACTTCGTGGTATTTGAGAGTGCGAAGTTTTTCTAGGAATTTTGCCAGAGCTCTAATTCAGTGCTTGACACTTAATGTGTTTAATCTTGATAAGACCACACCAATTTAATTTCTTGGTTAACGGATTCGCCGCTTCATTTTTTTCTGGTTTGCAAATAAAAATAAAAATTCAGAATCAACTGCAAAATGATCATCTTTTGCCTTGAACAGTTGAAAACAGTCCTTTTCTTACTACTTGTTACAGTCATTCCATCTTTCAATGCAGTAGTATCATTAAAAGTTCAAAATTCATAGTTTAAATTTTGAACCAGCCTGGTGTGTTGACTTCATGGCTCCTATCGTACCATTTTGGGCCATAATAGGATGCCTAGGCCAGTTTTTATTTTATTTTTTTTCGCCCGCCCGCTCCATTATTTTTCTAGAAAAATCCGTTAACCAAGAAATTAAATTGGTGTGGCCTAACCGGGCATCGCAAATCAGCATATTCATATTTTGTATCTGTTGGGGTTTCGACGGCTAAGCGTAACGGATCTATATCCATCCACATGTAAATTTGTTTTTGTCTGACCGCCAAACCGTTAATTCAAACACGTTCTCAATTCACTGCATGGAATGAAAATCGAACATCTTTCCAAAATTGGTTTTCATGGAAAGGTGTGACAAACCTTGTCCTATTTTTCGGGGTAATGTCAAGTGAGTAATTTTCCTGGAAAAAAATCATGGCTTGAGGGCCCTGTAAGCTT